TGTCCCCTTGCTGGTAGACGTACTGGCCTCATGTGGTCTGGGTCCTGAGCAGGGATCCGCCTGCGGCCTGAGACCCTGCACCACACGTAGCCCTGGCCCCCAGGGCACCCGTCAGTACTTGGTGAGGGAACACTGCCTCTGTGGCAGCTGCGGGCTCCCAGTGGCAGCGCCAGCCTGGACCATGTGCGCGGCGCTTGCTCCCTGTGGCCACACGTGCCCGTCTCACAGAGGCGTCTCTGTCTCCCTCAGTGCCTGAAGCAGTACGTGGAGCTCCTGATCAAAGAAGGATTCGAAACCGCTATCAGCTGCCCGGACGCCGCCTGCCCGAAGCAGGGCCGCCTGCAGGAGCACGAGGCAGGCGCCAGGACAGCCCGGGGTGGGGGGTGGGGGGGTTGGTGCAGGTGCTGTTGGGGCTGAGCCGGCCTGTGGCCCAGCCCTCAGCTTGTCACACCCCTGGTCCGTGTGTTTTTCCTCCCTCAGATCGAGTGCATGGTTGCGGCTGAAATTATGCAGAGATATAAAAAGCTACAATTTGAAAGAGGTAGGTGCGGGGGCGGACGAGCCAGTTCCGAGGCCTCTGCCTGCCCCCGGGCGACCTGCGGGCGACAGGAGGGACCCGAACTGGAGGACCTCGGGGAGCGGTGTGGGAGCAGCGGGGGTTCACGAACCACAGTCCTTTATAGAGATGTGGGCTACAGGGGCGGCTCGGCGAGGCTGGACCCCGGGGCATGGCTCCTCAGCCAGGCGAAGGCCCGGCCGCTGAGGGCTGAGCTCTGGGACCTGCACGGGATGCGGGAGACGCAGGCGGCAGGAAGGCTGGCAGGAGGGTGCGGTCACCTTCCCCCCAGGCCTGACCTCTCCCTGCTCTCTGTCTGGCTCCCGCCTGGACGGCCAGGTCTGGGCCTTATCTCTGTGAGCGACCCGCAGCCCAGCAAGGTCGTCTGACCTGTTGCACTGACCCCGAGGAGGCTGAGGCTCACCCCGAGTTCCATCCCTACTGGGTGGGGGGACCCAATCCCTCCCCCAGTGCCCTGCCCGCCCTGGCGGCTGGTTCCCGACCTGCCCTGACCCCGGGGTCTCCGGGGCACGGCGTGGAGCGGTGTGGAGTGTGCGTGTTTGAGACGACATCGCAAGTGTCACACACTTTATCGTTATTGGACGTGCACTTGCCACTGTGTCTACAGGGCCCGTGGAGGCCCTTTGGCCTCACTTCTGTGTTTCTTTTTTTAATATATTTCTGTTGATTTCAGAGAGGAAGGGAGAAAGAAACACCAACGATGAGAGAGAATCACTGATCGGCTGCCTCCTGCACGCCCCCCACTGGGGATCGAGCCCACAACCCAGGCCTGTGCCCTGACCAGGAATCGAATGAACCGTGACCTCCTGCTTCCTCGGTCGATGGTCAAGCCCTGAGCCAGGCGGCCGGGAGGAGCTGTGTGTGTACTGGCGCCTGGCGTTGGGATTTGGCGGTTGATAGCGTCAGTCCAAGGCCGTGTGGCCGCAGGTCGGCGGGGGAGCTCCGAAGGGGGTGGCTCCGGTTTCTGAGACCCGCAGGCCCCTCGGAAAACGTTTCCCGGAGAGAACCTGGGCCGCGGCGGTCGCCTGGGCTCAGAGGAGATGGACGCCCTGTGGCATCCGGGCGAGTTTAACCAGGTGGCGGGGTCTGCGTCCCGCTGGCCGTGCGGACTGTGAGGCTCCAGAGCGTGGGCTCAGTCAGAGGGGTTTTCTGTTTCTTTTGCATAAAAATAGGCCCTTTTGAGGTTAAAGACACACACACGCCTGTGGAACCTGTTACCGTAGAGCCTTTTGCTCATGTGACGTCAAAGCCAAAACAACTGCACTTGGACGTCCTGGCGACAGTGCGTCTGCCGGCGCCGCTCACACGGCATGGTGTCCATGGTCAGACGAGCGGCAGCCGTGGCCGCCAAGGGGCAGGTTGGAGATACGACCTGAAAACACGGGACTTGTTCTGTTTCTTTGAAATGTGCTGTAGTGAGAACCTGCAGGACTACAGCACATTCCCCACGTCGTGAAAATGTGAGGCCTGCCTGGCCCGGCCGGCGTGGCTCAGGCTGAGCGCCGACCTGTGAACCAGGAGGTCCAGGTTCCATTCCCGGTCAGGGCACAGGCCCGGGTTGCGGGCTCCATCCCCAGTGTGGGGCGTGCGGGAGGCAGCCGGTCCATGATTCTCTCTCATCATTGATGTTTCTCTCTCTCCCCCGCTCCCTTCCTCTCTGGTGTCAATGAGAATATACTTATAAATAAAATAAGAAGGTGCGTGAGGCCTGGGTCTGGGCCCGAGGCCCCGCCCGCAGCGCCTGACCTGTCCCTCGTGTCCCTGTGCCAGAGGTGCTGCTGGACCCCTGTCGGACCTGGTGCCCGGTGCCCACCTGCCAGGCCGTGTGCCAGCTCCCGGAGATGGGGCTGCAGACGTCCCAGCCAGTGCAGTGCAAGGCCTGCGCCACGGAATTCTGCTCCGCCTGCAAGGCCAGCTGGCACCCCGGCCAGGGCTGCCCGGAGACCATGCCCATCACCTTCCTCCCCGGGGACACCAGGTAGGCTCCCGCCGGGAGGCAGGGCTGGGGGGGGAGGAGGGCTTCCTCCCGGAAGATGCCCGGGAACACTGGTCTCTGCCCCCCCCCCTCCGTTCCTGCGACTCCTTATCACTCCCCAAGCCTGGCTCACGTCCGCCTTTGTTCAGCTTCCCAGCAACCAGGGTGGGGCCGGTGACCCAGCCCCCGTGTCGGCTGGGAGATGGCCCGGCTGATTACGGCATCGCCCTGTGGTGTTAGTTCGTCTGCTGCGTGGCTGGTAACTCCTACGTGGCTGGTTCCTCTTGCTGCCTTGGTTGGACTCTCCCCCCAGATCCTGGCCTACAGCGGGCACCCCTTTCTAGGGAGCCGCGCCACCTGGTTTGCCACAGTCCCCGCCACGCCCTCTTGCCTCCCTGGCCCTGACGCTGGCGGTCAGGTGTCTTTTATGACTCAGCGTCCACTCGGCTGTTTTCAAAACGAGATCTCCCCCCACCCACGTCCCCAAGCAGCGCCGGCCAGCGTTGCTCACGTACCTGCCGTCTTAGCCTTAAAGACATGAGGACGTGTGGACGTAGGGACGCTGTCAGGCTCCTGGCTGCCTCCCCACAGGACTGTGGCAGAGGGGACAGTGTCACGTGTGGTTCAGGGGCCGGGAAGGCCGGGAACCGTTGCAGCAGGTAGATTCCTGTGCAGGCCCCGTGCTCCGGGACTCCCCTGTTTTAACCGCTTCTGTTGGAAAACGTCTCCTGGGGATGCTCTCCGGGGTGCGGGCCCTGGTCGGGGCGTTTCCTTCAGAACGGCCTCGAGTCCCACGAGAAAATCGGTCCCCTGCCCCAAGGTGGCTCCTGCGAGCAGCCACACGACCGGACCTGGGAGTCTCCTCGCTCGCTGGCTTGGCGCCCGGGACCGTGTCTGCAGCCATCG